GCCACTTCCCGGCTGGCTCCACGGGCCGTCCTCGGCCTACCCGGAGGCTCGCCCACCGTCCGGTTTTCCGTTGCAGCCCGAGGCGTCGGGCGCCACCGGGAACTACGCCGGGCTTTCCCACATGGACCGCGCACCATCATCCGCCCTCCGCACCGCCGAGGCAGTGGGCCAGGGCGCGCCACACCAGCAGCCGCCCCGGTTCGCCAAGATCGACTTTTCCACATACGACGGCTCCGACGACCCGCTTAACTGGCTCAACCAGTGTGACCAGTTCTTCCGCGGACAGCACACGCCTGCGTCGGAGCGCACTTGGCTGGCTTCCTACCATCTCCGCGGGGCCGCCCAGACATGGTACTACGCCCTCGAGCAGGACGAGGGCGGCATGCCCCCGTGGGAGAGTTGTGCCTTCTTCGTTTCGGGCCACCGGTCCGCGGGAGTCGCCTGGCCGAGTTGGGCTGCCTGCCATTCACCTCCACGGTACAAGACTTCGCCGACCGCTTCCAGGCCCTGGCATGCCACGCGCCCGGTGTAACGGCCTTACCGCGGGTGGAGCTTTTCATCGGTGGCCTTCTCGACCACATTCGCGTGGACGTCGAGATGAAGGGGCCCCAAGACCTTCAGACGGCCATGTACTATGCCCGAGCGTTCGAACAACGCGCCCAGGCCTTGACGCGTCCATACGCGCCACGTGGGGGCCGACAGCCTATTCGGCCGTCTCCGGCAGCACCGACGCCATCCACGGCCGCCCCGGCTCCGACGCGGCCATTCAGGCGTCTCACTCAGGCAGAACAACTAGAACGCCGGCGCCTGGGCTTGTGCTTCAACTATGATGCGCCCTATGCACCGGGCCATGTCTGTCCCCGCCTCTTCTACTTGGAGACGTCAGACGAGACGGGCGAGGAGACTCTGGAGGATGGCCTCGGCGCCCCAGCCCTTGCGAAGACCGCAGCAGCGCCCGCGCCCGCCCCGGCCACCGCCCTCGTGGTGTCCCTACACGCGCTGGCCGGTATCCGTGATGAACGGACGATGCTCTTACCAGTCATGATCCAGGGCGAGCGCTTAGTGGCCCTCGTGGACACGGGATCCACTCATAACTTCCTGCCAGAGACCACCATGCGGCGCCTTGCATTACAGCCCATCGGCGGCGAGCAGTTGCGCGTCACAGTCGCTAATGGCGACCGTCTCCACTGCCGTGGGCTCGCCCGTGACGTGCCCATCACTATCGGCGGCGAGCACTTCTCCATCACATGCGCCGGCATCGACTTGGGCTGCTTCGACTTCATCCTCGGCGTTGACTTCTTGCACACTCTTGGTCCTATTCTCTGGGATTTCGATGCGCTGACGATGACCTTCTGGCGGTTGGGCCGCCGCATTCGGTGGGACGGCATTGGGGGTGCCGCACCCTCACCACCCCTCCAGCTGGCCGCGACCACCGCAACGGCCGAGCACCCACTCTTGGAGAGCCTCCTACAGCAGCAGGATGACATCTTCACCGAGCCACAGGGGCTGCCGCCCACCCGCACGTATGATCACCGTATACATCTTCTGCCAGGCTCCACACCTGTGGCGGTCCGCCCTTACCGCTATCCGCAGTTGTAGAAGGATGAGTTGGAGCGGCAGTGTGCGCTCATGCTCGCAGTCGGCATCATCCGGCTCTCCACTGCGCCGGTGCTTCTCGTCCGCAAGTCAGACGGCACATGGCATTTCTGCATCGACTACCGTGCCCTTAATGCTATCACACTTAAGGATAAGTTCCCTATTCCGGTGGTCGACGAGCTCCTCGATGAGCTACACGGGGCGCGCTTCTTCACCAAGCTCGACCTTCGGTCGGGGTACCACCAGGTGCGCATGCACCCGGATGACATCGCCAAGACGGCGTTTCGGACTCATCACGGCCACTTCGAGTTCTTGGTGATGCCCTTTGGCCTCACCAACGCCCCGGCGACCTTTCAGGCTCTGATGAACGACGTCCTCAGGCCCTACTTATGCCGGTTTGTGCTCGTTTTCTTTGATGATATTCTGATCTACAGCGCGTCTTGGGCCGAGCACCTCCAGCACGTTGCCATCGTCTTCAACGAGCTTCGAGCGCACCACCTCCACCTTAAGCGCTCGAAGTGCTCGTTCGGGACGCCTTCGGTGGCCTACTTGGGCCACGTCATCTCCGCCGACGGGGTGGCTATGGACGCCGACAAGGTGGCAGCCGTCTCCGCATGGCCGACGCCTCACTCGCCGCGGGCTCTCCGCAGGTTCCTCGGCCTTGCCGGCTACTACCGGAAATTTATTCGGGAGTTTGGGCTCATCGCGGCGCCCCTCACGCGGTTGCTTCGCCACGACGCTTTCGCCTAGGACGACGAGGCGACAACGGCATTCGAGGCCCTCAAGGGAGCCCTCACGACAGGCCCCGTCCTCCAGATGCCCGACTTTGACCGCCCGTTCGTGGTGGACTGTGACGCCTCAGGCGCAGGGTTCGGCGCTGTGCTTCATCAGGGCGATGGACCCCTCGCCTTCTTCAGCCGGCCTTTCGCTCCACGTCACCTTAAGCTGGCGGCATACGAGCGGGAGCTCATTGGTCTTGTACAGGCCGTTCGTCATTGGCGGCCGTACTTGTGGGGCCGGTCCTTCCTCATTCGCACCAACCACTACAGCCTAAAGTTCTTGCTGGATCAACGGCTGTCGACCGTGCCGCAGCATCAGTGGATCAGCAAGCTCTTCGGCTTCGACTTTTCCGTCGAGTATCGACCGGGCCGCCTTAACACAGTGGCCGACGCACTGTCCCGTCGCGACTCCGACTTTGTTTCCTCCACCAACGAGTCCGCCGGGGCGGCCCTGTGCATACGCTCTGGGCCGACGTTCGGCCTCTTCGCCGACATTCGACGCGCCACTGCGACGGCCGACGACGCCGTCCGTCTTCAGCAGCAGCTCACGATCGGCGACCTGGAGGAGCCTTGGCGCTTCTCTGACGGACTGCTCCTACATGGGCGCCGGGTCTTTGTTCGGGCGCATGATGATCTCCGTCACCAAGTGTTACAGCTCGCCCATTCGGCGGGCCATGAGGGTATGCAGAAAACCCTCCATCGTCTTCGCGCTGACTTCTACATCCCTGGCGATCGCGCCCTGGTCCGCGACTGGGTTCGGTCTTGTCAGACATGCCAGCGCAACAAGACAGAGACACTGAGGCCGGCCGGGTTACTCCAGCCCTTGGAGGTGCCATCTCAGGTCTGGGCGGATATATCCATGCACTTCATTGAGGGCCTTCCCAAGGTGGGTGGCAAGTCGGTCATCCTCACGGTGGTCGACCGCTTCTCCAAGTACGCCCACTTCATCGCGCTCGGCCATCCATATACTGCGGCATCAGTGGCCCGGGCCTTCTTCGACGGCATCGTCCGTCTACACGGATTTCCTACTTCGATCGTCAGTGATCGGGACCCAGTTTTCACGGGCCATGTATGGCGCGACCTCTTCAGGATGGCAGGTGTCCAGCTCCGCCTGAGTACGGCATTCCATCCTCAGATGGACGGACAGTCCGAGGTGGTTAACAAGGTCATTGCCATGTATTTGCGTTGTGTGACAGGTGATCGGCCTCGCGCTTGGGTGGACTGGCTTTCTTGGGCGGAGTACTGCTACAACACCTCTTATCACTCCGCCCTGCGCGCTACGCCATTTGAGGTGGTCTATGGGGGACCACCCCCACCTATCCTTCCGGTGGATCCGGAGACAGCTCGGGCGGAGGTTGCGGGTGAACTCATCTGCACTCGTGACGAGATGCTTGCTGAGGTTTGTCGGCGTCTCCTTCAGGCCCAGCAGTTGGCCAAGCACTACTACGACGATCATCATCGCGAGGCGGAGTTCGCGGTGGGTGATTGGGTGTGGCTGCGTCTTCTCCACCGCTCTACGCAGTCACTCGACCCGCGAGCAAGGCGCAAACTCGGCCCGCGCTACGCCGGGCCCTTCCCTATCTTGGAGCGCATTGGGAAGGTGGCCTATCGTCTTCAGCTTCCAGCCCGCGCTCGCATCCACGACGTCTTCCATGTGGGGCTGCTCAAGCCTTTCCGTGGCGAGCCATCGGCGGCTCCTCCGGCGCTTCCTCCCATGCCGATGGTCGCATTCTTCCAGAGCCGGCAAAGGTGTTGCAGGCACAACTTCGTCGTGGCGTCTGGTTCATCCTCGTTCAATGGACAGGCCTTCCGGAGGAGGAGGCTACTTGGGAGCAGCGTGAAGAGTTCCGCCAACACTATCCAGATTTTCAGCTCGAAGACGAGCTGTTTGCGCAGGCGGGGAGAGATGTTATGACCGGTTTGGTCTATAACCGAAAGAGGCCCACCGGGCCTTAGTATTAGGGGCTTGACCCACAAGTTATCTTAGGCAAATTATTTTAGGAAAGTTATCTTAGGCTAAAGTTATAAATACTAGTTGTAAGACATCGTTTGAGATCAAGCAATAAAGATAGTTCTATCATATTGCCCGGCTCCAGAGGAGCCGGAACCCTAGCCGCACCAAACCCTAGCCGCCGTCGACCTTCTTCTCCCTCGCGACGGCGCCAACACGCCGGAGCCGCCGCCCTCGCCCCCAACCCTCGCTATTCTGCCCGTATAACCTACGGAGTAGAGCCGGTAGGAACCCTAGCCCTACTAGCAACAGTCTTCTTTTGAACATCATCGTTCAGTTGAATGAATCGTGTGTAATTACTAAGTACGACTAAAGAAGTACTGATATATGAAGATGCAAGTGCGAAAGCTATTTCCTCTACCAAGATCTGGAGCAATAAGAACTAGCTTTACAAACTGGTATTTAATTTTTTTTCATTGATATTCTCAATCGCAAACAATTGTTACACACACATGCAGAACAAACCATCAATTAGCTACCTCTTCTAGCTAGTTTGACAAGGTAGCCAACCCCAATAGAACAATAATTAACTTTCTACATAACCATGTGAGCAGAACAAGCAAAGCACGCACTCAATGGCAACATAAAATAAAATAATTAGGCTTACCAGTTGATCAGATAGTTGGTTCCAATAACAGCGGCGGGAAGCTAAAGCAGGGGAGAGCACGTTTGCGATTGAGGAACTGCTCCATCCTTGTACAGACTTTGGTAATTTCATAAGTCCTGACCGACATTGAGTAACAATCCACATTCTCAACACGAATACCTTTTGGAGCACCTTGGAAGAACAAGAATCCCTCAGCTGCACCCACTGTGGAAATGGAATAGTCACGATACTGCCCTGGCAGGCTTATGACCTTCTCGAGCTCCCATTCTTGGGAATTATTCTGTAGAGAGGTATGGTAGAGAGCAAAGTAGCCATCCTGACGGACAAGAGAAAACATCTCAAGGGTTCCTTCCCTACCTGCAACGACAGAATTCGGACGCCGAGGATCAGAGCTCTCGTTATACAGATCTCTGAGCTCCTGATGGTAGCCGGTGAGAAGATCGACAGTGGAAAACCTCATTGTGCACGTGTCCAGCACCATCAAATGGTCACCCCAAGTATAAGGTTCTGTCCAGTAGAAGCGACGACCCACACAGACAAAACATGACATCTGGTCCAAAGAAGGGAGGACAGGAGACTCCACCATACACCATTACATAGTTGTGGACGGGAAAACAAAGAGGACGAGCTTGGTCTGGTATTTTGATATGCATATCACCTTGAAGGGTTCCTCCTCCCCATTCTCGCTGGTGCTGGGAGCAAGTACAGGCTCAAACTCCCAAAGAGAATCTTGCGGTTGGGCGGCGAGGTCTTCAGGTATGGTTGGAAGCAGCACGTATCTGCTGGACAGGGGATCGCAGACGGCGAGGTGGAAGTCGGCGGCGTTGCACCGCTCCCGTCCGGTCCATGTGGGGCGGTCACGCGGGGGCAGCTCATTAACGTCCATGAGGATGAATACATCGGAGTCGTCTTCGGAGTAGCAACAAATGCGTACGGTGCGGGGGTGGAGGGAGATCCAGTCGAGGAGGACGCGGCCGCCGCGGACGTCGCGGGGGCGCCAGCGGGGGCCTTCCCTGTCGTCTTGGACGCCCGGCGGGACGTAGTAGGAGGAAGAAGAAACGACGGCCGGGACGAAGGAGAAATCGGCGGCGCGGGGGGCGAGGGCGCCGGCGAGCGGGGCGGAGGCGTGCGGCGCCTGGGCGGGGTGGAGTCCGTCCGCGTCCATGAAGCCGACGAGCGGAGGCCGGTGCAGCGCGCGGAAGCGGCGGCGGAAGGCGTGGCCTTTGATGACGCGACGGAAGGAGGTGCAGGCCGCGGAGGCGCGGGCGAGCGCGTCCGGGGTGGGCAGGCGGAGGAAGATCTCCTCCAGGAGGTCGTCGGGGACGGGGATAGAGGCCAGCGGCGGCTGCGGCGGCGCCATGGCGGCCGTGGTGGAGAAAGGGGATCGAGGGTTAGGGCTTGGGATGCTGGGAGGGAAGAGTGAGTGAGTGGGCTGTGAGTCGTACGGCCATTTAGCGAACGCCTAGTAAAGCTTGGAAAATTTTGTAGCCCTCAAAACATTTTAAATGAAATTGTAGTACTATAAAGCATCATAATTCTCGCCTCCTTTTTACGTAAGAAAAACTCATTTCAACTATATTTACACACTAAAATCTCCAGCTACATTAAAACTATATTTACACATTTAAAATGTAAATTGTTGTTTAAGCCCCATAATTCTTGGCTCCATAAAGGTTGGAAAATTTCAATTTTATGTAAAACGTTTCGGCACGGGCGAAACCCTATATTGTGACGTCGCCTCCACTACTCAACCCCATCACCCCCTAGTCGTCGGCTTGTCAACGAATGCCGCCATCGGGCCGAGGACGTGTAGTCGACAGTGCGGCGGGGCTTTTTCCTTTCCCATATGCAGGAACATATGGTGGGGGAGGCTTGGCCCCCTTCGCCTGCACGGTGTGGCATCCTCTTGTGTCTCCAGAGTTTTCCCTGGCAATGCTTTCGGTGGGAGATTGATTTAACATCTGCACGCTCGGAGTTGCGACGTCGGGAGGCTACAAAGGGCTTCGATCTGACGTCCACTGATTCGATGTTTAGGGGTAGCACTACTAGGAAAAGGCCTACTAATGGTGCACCAGTTTTGTCTACTAATGGCGCACTACTGGTGCGCCATTAGTATCACGCCACTAGTATTTGGATACTAATGGCGCACCATGCAGTTCGCCATTAGTATTGTCCACAGTGCGCCACTAGTGTCTGCTATACTAATGGCGCACCACATGGTAGTGCGCCATTAGTAACAATTTTTTTATTTTTTTTCGTTTTTTCTTAATCTCAGGTCAGTATTTCACATATGAGATATCCAACACATATATATACAACAAGCATCCATATAACAATCATATCCAACACAAGTTTCATCATATATACATACATAGCCAACACATAGTTCCATCATTACATATTACAAAAGTTTCACATTGTTCATCCAACACCGCTATCCATCAATTCACAAAAGTTTCACATTGATATAAAATAAAAACACAAATGGAAAGAAGCACTCCATCCATGCAAGCTTCCGTGAATTAAATCAAATCTGCAAAATGATAAACAAGAAGTTAGAAGAAGAAGAAGAAGAGAAGAAGAAGAAGAAGACTAGAAGAATACTAGAAGAAGAAGAACACTAGAAGAAGAATAAGAAGAATAAGAAGAAGACTATAAGCTTATTATGTAAACTTGATCATTTTGTGCTAACATAAGTAATTTTGGAGCTAACCTATAGGAAACTAAGCATATAAGCTCTCTAAGTTAGCATATTAGAGCCAACTTAGGTAAAATGAAGCTAAACTATGTCATTTTGGAAAATAAGAAGAATAAGAAAAAGACTATAAGCTTATTATGTAAACTTGATCATTTTGTGCTAACATAAGTAATTTTGGAGCTAACCTATAGGAAACTAAGCATATAAGCTCTAAGTTAGCATATTAGAGCCAACTTAGGTAAAATGAAGCTAACCTATGTCATTTTGGAAAAGAAGAAGAATAAGAAGAAGACTATAAGCTTATTATGTAAACTTGATCATTTTGTGCTAACATAAGTTATTTTGGAGCTAACCTATAAGAAACTAAGCATATAAGCTCTAAGTTAGCATATTAGAGCCAACTTAGGTAAAATAAAGTTAACCTATAGAAAACTAAGCATATTAGAGATAACATAGGTAACTAAGTATATATATATATATCATTTTGGAGATCTGACATACCTGACATAGTTCAGTTCTCATTGTTCTTCTCCTTCTCCTTCCTCAGCCTGATGCGCCAAGAGTGACGAGGCGGTGGAGGCAGTGGGATGTAGTCTTCTACCACAATTGGCGTGGTCATGTCGCCCAGTTGTGGGATCGCCGGCGCCACCACCGGTGCGTGGTCATTGTCAGGCACCACCACCATCGCGAGGCCACCTTTAGGCAGGACGGGCACAACCATTGCTAGGTCATCCTCAGCCACCTCCATCTCTTGCCCATGGTCAGCCACCACCATCTCTTGCCCATGGTCAGCCACCACCATCTCTTGCCCTTGGTCAGCCACCACTAGCGCTAGGTCATCCTCAGCCTGATGCCCATCGTCATCCTGCAGCTCCTCATCCCCACTCTGCTCCTCTTCTCCCGCACTCCAGTCCGGATCATCCTTCTTGTTGTCTATGCTGCTGCCAGAATCGCTGCTGCTTCCGCTAAAGCCAGAATCGGTGTTGCTTTTGCTACAGCCATAGTCGCTGCTGCTTTGGCTGTAGCCAGTGTCGCTGCTGCTGCTCCCATTGCCTGTCCAAATGCAACAATGACCGTTAACAATCGATGTGAGACAAAGCCAAATGTAGAGGAATAAGAAAAGGCAGAACGTACTGGCATCATCATCGTCAGCGTAGCGCATGCGACACATAGTCGCGTTGAACACCTTCACGATGAGCATGGTGGCGTCGTCGTCGTACCTGAAGAGAAGGAAGTACCCCAGCCGCAGGTCGTAGGCACGGTAGAACTTCTCCCACCCACGATACAAGTACATGTGGCCCTCCTTGATCACCAACTCCACATCCCACTGCTTGCGAAACCCGCTGCCGGCCTGTCGTAGCTTCACATTATTTGGCGGATCTTCACCCAGCATGTTCATAAAACTGTCAGGTAGCCTCTGCAGTTTGGGACAATGAGTGATGTAGCAAACAACAGATATCATAATGAGATGGGTGAAGGGGAGATCTCTCATTTTATATACCCGCGTCATGGATGATACTGAAGTCCCAAGTATGATACTGAAGAACTCGGAAGCATCCAACTCGTACTGCGGTGTGGCAGAGCAGCGGTGGCTGCTTCCCCCCATCTCTGATAAACAGCAAAAGAGACCAATTAGTACCCTTACAACAGATCATAAAACATGCATTAGTCGCAAGTACCCCATATGTCCTATTGTTAGCAAAGTCATATGCTAAAATTCACAGAAAATTTCAGCATGACCTTTGCTGAAAATAGGACATATGGAGTACCCGAATTTGCCGGAACGGAAGTTAATCGACATTCCGGCAAACTCAAGGGCCTCTCGGGGTACCTGCAAATTCATCACGACACAATGGTCGGAGACAAAAACCCAGCAACTTTACAAGTCTTTCAATGCTGATTTGTTTGCATTGTTTTAGGAGTATAAACTGAGTATGCAAACTGGATATACACTGAATTTAAATAAATTTACAGAAAAATACCATGTGCTTGTGGGTGTGGTGTCCTATTTGCAGAAAAAATACCATGTGTAAGTGGAGTGCAGTGTTCTGCAGAAGCAGATGTTCAGTTGGGTTTCTGCTACTGAAACTTGCCAATTGCAAAGAGTACTGCTGTTGTAAAACTACTGTAAATCTACTCCTCTATACAAATCTTAAAAGCAGGTCTACTTCAACTAAAATTCACCTAAGAGCTACTGCAAGCAGGTCTACTTGCTTTTGGTGTGTTCTTGCACAACCTGTTTCTCTGCAATGCCACATAAGCATGTGTGCTAAACCTCTGTCTAACAAGTATTGAGGCAAACAAATATTGCTCCCAACTGAACATTTTCAGTTAACTGTAGCAACAAGTATTGGAACACTGTGCTCAAAAAGTTCAGTTAACAGTATTGACTGTAACTCATTGAAACAAAAGGGCAGATAATCCTTTTAACCATTCTGTGAGTTTTGAATGAGCTGGTTACTTGGCTGCTGCTATGTCCTAGTACTATGCAAAAGTACTACTCATTTGATACGACCCACCTCTGTAGCCAGAGATGGGTCACCTGCTGCAGCCAGAGATGCTTTAAGGTATTCTCGTTTTCAACCTCTTTTTGCTGTCATATCTTGTTTGAAAGTTGTAGAGAGTTTCAGCGACATTGTAAGAAAACAATTTGGTGGAATGGTAACCAAAGACATAACTGAGTGACTTTGACAGTCTAACCATAAAACTGTATGAAGCAGACTTGCAAGGTCTAGATAGTATGAATCCAAACAAATTATCGCTTATTTTCATAATTAGAAAATTCTCTTATAAAACTTTTGTTCCAGAAGATGGATCACCCTTTCTTTTTCTTTTTGCTTTCTGAGACCAAGTAATTAAATCAAAATCCATTGATGTCAAACAATTCT